GGTTCATTCATCAAAGGATGCAGAGCAACTGAGTCCCAATAACTGCTAAGTGTGAGAGATGAAGGGTAAGCAAAACAGAGTCCTTGTTCTCAAGATTTGGAGTCTGGAAGCCACAGAGATGTCAGCATTGTATTGTGCATCATATTAAACGTATACATCATCTGTATGGAGGATGCTAATGTCCAGAAGGGAAATGTCCCCCGAGAATACTTGTTTTGATTTCAGTATTTCTACTGCAGTTGACAGTGTTTGTTGTTTATGCCCTGGAAGTTGTCTTAGGGACAGATGTGGTTGCAGTGTAGGTACAGAGGGACTCTCCTTGCATTACTTCAAAAAGGATCTGATGACAATAATGATTCATTATCACTTAAGTGATCCTCCTGACAAATAGAACTCAACTCCTCAACACTTCTATACATGTCTTGAAATCCTTCATGGTCCAGTGACTCTTAAGAGCTGGAGGTTTTAGGAAACCATCTAGTCCATGTTTGCACCCAGGGTTTCCCAGACAACCACATGACAGTGAGAGAATATTCCCAAGACAGTTTTTCCAGACAGCTGTTTCATACTCCGCTGTTGGTTTACATATGGTGGGTGCCTGTTGAATATTAGGGTAACTGACACTGTGCACAATATTCTCCACCTATCCTCACTATTCTCAGTGAAGGACAAAGAACAAATCTGCTCTCCTTTCTGTTCAGGAGTTCTTGTGTTCAGAACTTGACTAGGAAAAAAAAAGGCTCATTTCTTCTCTCCCCTGTACCCACTGCTCTCTAGGCACTCTGTGGTGTTTTGCTCAAACCCCTTCTATGCCAGAGCATCCACAGGTGTGGCACCCTGCCACACCTTGCACTGTGACTGTTCTCTCACTTTTCAATGCTACAGTTTCCAGGAGTCTAGCTTGTATTCCTATTGTTAAGTTTGGCAGTGTTGTCAACCAACAAGTCGACAAGTTACATCCCTTGACAGCCATGGTAATGCATTCACATGAATGCAGCCTAGATTAGCCTTTGCTCTTTTTGAGCTGGTCACACCAAACCTACATGGGGTTGGAGTCAGCTAAAACCACAATTTGCTGCCCAAGGATCCTCCACATTTGAGAAGCATGCAGACAATATGGAGTTGGAGAGAGCAAAGTCAGAGGAGTGATTGGCATACTGCCAGAAAGTCCCTTCAGGTTCCCCATCTTCTCCTGGGTAAAGCCTGAAACAGAGAAGGCTTAAAAGTCCCAGGACCCAGCAGGCATAGATCATGTTTTTGTTGTTGCTTTTGTGTTGGTGAGACAGAATGTCACTCTGTAAGCCCAGGCTGGCCTTAGACTCCCTATGTTGACCAGTGTGGCCTCAAACTTATAGTCATCCTCCTGCCTCTGCCTCTTGAGTGTTGAGATTTACAGGTGTGGGCTTCCATTCCACATCATGTTTGAAAATACCTTAGAACTCCTAGGTTATACATACCTACCACCCCCATCATAGCCCTCAAGCAAGACATGTACGTTAGGTGTTTCCACAGTTTAAACTCTTCCAGTTATACTGGTAATCCTGGTGGTTAAAACCTATCACAAAGACCAAGGTTTTCTAGGCTCCAGCGGATTGCACATTTCAGACACTAATTTTGATACTCATTACCAATATTGCAGAGTTCCCTAGAGGGAAAGCAAGTACCACCCAGAGAGGAAAACTGCCCTGTGCTTGTGAGTCATCTGTTCCTCAAGCTTCTCTTGTCAAGGGCAGAGCTCTCTGCATAAAGAATACAAGGGGTTATACTTAAGGTCAAACAGGTCCTTTCCTGTGTAGGGGTGGTGGGGGTAGGGTGTGTGGGAGGGGTGGTCATGGCCAGCACTATGACAAGTTGGAGTCGCACCTAGAAGTTTCAAGGTGGGTCTTAGGAATGTCCTATAATCCCCCTCTCCCTTCTTGCACCCAGCTGGAGTCCCCAACAATTGTTCCATCAACAGTGAATCAGGATTCTCTGTGCGGCCTGGAGGATGCCGGTGGCCCGAAGCACTGCCCAGGACTCCTTTCCTTCCCAAAGCACCCAACCCAGCCCTTTGCTCTTGGTAGGCTTTCCCTCTCCACCTCCTCCTACCTCCTAGTGAGGACCAGTCCCTAGCTGGCCCCAGGTTTGTACCCATCGCAAGCCCTTTCTCTGTCTGGGTGAGGGTCGGTAGTGGGAACTCTATTAGGTTGTCTCAGACCCTGAACGGTGCAGGGGCTTTGGATGAGCCAGCCCCAGCGCTGGCAGAGCCACACCCTCTACCTGTTGCTGTCAAACGACTCTGGCCCTTTTTGTGACTCCGAGTTGAATGGGCTTACCCTTCTAAAGGCCCAAACCACCTTTCACATCAGCTCAAAGAACACATCTTTTTTTCTCCTTGATTCCTCTAGTTTGTGAATCAGCTAAGAACTGAACGAAATTCTAGGACACAGATTTAAAACTGGGTTGAACAGACAAGACAGGAATAACTCCCAACCTCGTTCAAAAAAAAGAAAGTATGTGGAAGTAGATAAAAGCCCTGGATATAATTTCTTCATTATAATGGGACACTTTTGTGAGCATTTAGTCTGCACCAGGCCTTAGGAAAGCTTGAGAAATTATAATTGGGCAACAGGAAGTAGAGCTGAGTTTTGAGTGTTCAAAAAGGAAAGCAAGCATCCACCCATCTGAAGGCTCAGTCATGGGAAAGCTTGATACCACCAGTACTAGCACTCAGTTTGATGGAGCACAGGACACGAGGTTGAGGGGAGGGACAACCAGATTGAGAGGTAGCTTGTGAGGGACAGACTGCAGTGTACTTGTGTGGACTGGAAGTAGAAGTAGAAGGTTGTTCATACTGATTTGAATGGGGAAATGTACTGTAGCAGTAACAGGTGGAGAATAGAGGCGGGGTTGGAGGATTGTCAACACAGGACACAGAAGAGCAGCTTTGAGAAGTCTGAATGGTGGGATGATCTGGTGACTTCAATGTGCAGGTGAGAATGGGCTAAATCCCCGAACTGCACTTTGGCACCTGAGATGAGGGTGCTGTTAACTAACAGAAAATCTCACAGGATGTGCAAGTGTGTGTTTATGGTCTGTGTTTATGGACGTTCTTTCCACAGCAACAAGGAAACAGAATCAGGGATGTCCATGATCAGATGAATGGGTAAGAAAACAATGGGATTTTATTCAACACTAAATTTAAAAAATGAAGCTTTCAGGAAAACAGATCGAACTAAAAACATTATTTTAAGCAAGATGACTCAGGCTCAGAAGGACAAATAACATTTTCTCTCATATGAGGATCCTAGCTTCTGTTAAAGAAATATATATTTGGGTGGGAAAAAAATATGGGTAAAGGTCAGGAAACGACAAAGGAGTCCATGAGACTGGAAAAAAACAGACTCTAAAAGGAGGAGGTGGGGAAGACACTAGAGCAAAGTAGAGGGGGTGCTAGGGGCAAAAGGGTGCAATGGGAAAGGGGGACACAGGAGGCAAGGGGGGAGTGAGGTGGGGTGGGAGGAAAACCAGCCCAAGTGAAACATATAGAAAACCCACACGGAAACCTATTGCATCGTAAGCTACTTTTTTTGTTGTTTTTGGTCTTTTTGAGACAAGGGTCTCCCTGTAGCCCCAGCTGTCCTAGAACTATGTAGACCAGGCTGGCCTTGAACTCACAGAGATCCACCTGCCTCTGCCTCCCGAGTGCTGGGATTAAAGGCGTGCACCACCACACCCGGCCGTAAACTACTTTAAAAAAATTATTTAATAACCATATAATTAGAAGCATTTCATTACAAGAGCATTGACATATTCAATAACAATTTCCAGAGCTAAGATGCATCTCTTTCAAAATTGGCTGTAAATTTTTTAGGTTTACAGTTGAATTAGTTATACAATATTGTACTCAGTCTAAACCCTAGAAGACATAAAATTAAATGTTTTAAACTTTAAAAAAGATCTCCATTTCATTATTAAGTCTCATACAGAAAAATTCATTATATACAATTGACACTAAGATGCACATGCATTTCTAATCTGTATATATCTGATTATTACTAGTCACAGTTGGTTACTTTCTGAGCTCCTTGGCATCTGAGCATAGATATAGTCATCAGGTAGATTTCAATGGTAATGTTTTTCACATCTACTAATTATTAAGGAGTTAATTTTTATTTAAGAGTGAAAAAGAGATTAAGGAGAAAAGAAGGAGGGAGGGAAGGGCAGCCCCAGGGACTGGACAGACTTAGAGTCACAACAGATTGTCATGCACTAGGCAACGGGTCTGTGCAACTAGCAAGATGTTGACTAAAGCCCACCAGAGTTTGAAGTCACCTAAACGAGAGAGAGAGAGAGAGAGAGAGAGAGAGAGAGAGAGAGTGTGCTGGGGGCAGAAGGCACAGCAGGTGCTAGGAAACTGCAGAATGATGAACAGCAGGCAAGAAGGGAGAGTGAGTTACCAAAGAAAGGTATCACGTGCGCCAGAGGAGTAACACGTTTATTTCAGGATGGGATGAAAGGGGTGGGTGCGGAAAAGGCAACACCGGGGTCAGCAACTAAGGGCGAATGTGGTCAGGCCAGTCTGCACACATGTTGAAGGAGCTTCTAAATAGGAACTATTAATAGGAATCACAAGAAATAACAAATCCCTCTGGCTGGAGCCATGTGAGATTTCTGCATCAAGGCCTAACACAGAACAGTGGTTACTGCTGAAAGCACCATACACAGTAGCAATACCAGATATCTTGTTGGGTGTGGTGGCACATGCCTATAAATCCAGCCAGCACTGGAGAGACTGAAGCAAGAGGACAACCCGGGCTACATAGGGTAACTCTGTCCCCAAAAAAACCCAAACCCACAAAATTCAATATAACTGGAAGCTAAGCTTTTATTTTTTGAATATTTTATTTTTATTTTATGGGTATGAGTGTGTTGCCTGCATGTATGTGAGTGCACCCGTGTCGTGAAGTGCCGCGGAAGTCAGAAGAGGGCTTCGGAATCCCCTGGAACTGGAGTTAAGGATGGTTTGTAGCCGCCATGTAGGTGCTGAGAATTGAACCCAGGTCCTCCGCAAGAGCAGTCAATGCTCTTAACTGCTGAGCCATCTCTCCAGCCCAGAAGCCAGGCTTTTAAAGGGAGGATGATGCAGGTAAGATGGTGTATGACAGTGTAAATATACAGACTGGGCAAGAAAAAAAATGTACAACGATAGGCAAATGTTCATTTTAATAATTCAGAATTATTCATGTTAACCCAGATGCCTTCAGAGCTGAGAACTGAGCCAGGCAGCACAGTTTTTAATGGTTAACATAATGAAATTTTCTTTATTAAAAAGTGATCAAGAATAGGTTCATAGTCTCATCATAAATATAAAATAATCATTACTAGTTTTATTCACAATAAACATAAGTTTCTGGAAAAGCTGCACCATCTAATAACATAATGGGCTCTGGCTTTATCTAAAGTGATTAAAACACAGCTTCCCCTGCTTGTGTTTCCACAGAAGGCTTCTCTCATTTTACCAAGAGATGTAGACAATTAGATAGATGGATACATGGTATCAAACAGAAGAACATTTTAAGACTTTTTTGCTTTTATTACAAGTTTTGGGAATGAAAGGCTCCTCTGCTTCATGCTTGTGATAAACGTGACAATGGAGCGTAAGAGACTTAGAAACCATTTCCTGAAGGAAATGAGGCTGACCCTTCCCCGACAGTCTACACAGTTCAGGTAAGGTGCTGCCATTAGGCAGTGCTGGGAAGACAGAGCCTGTGACAGTGACAGGGACTTCCTTTGTCAGACTGACAACCACTTAGTGATATGACATGATACCTAAGGGACCACCATGTGTTCTTCAGGAGTGGCACGAGAGGATAGCACTAGACAAGCAAACCTTTCCTGAAGTACTGAAAAGCTTCGCAAGGCCATAATCACAAATGCAACAAATCACATGTGACCCGTTAAAGGCCTCCGGCACTTAAAGTGCCACCCTCAAGTGTCGGTATGAACCAAATACACATAGCACAGTTGTGGAGCGCAGTCTCTCGAGCACCCTTTCACTACCACACTTGGCTTGTGGAATTTGGATGCAAAGGCTTAACTCGTGCTAATCGGGAGAGGCCGAGGCGGAGGCTCTGATTCGGGGACTTGGACGCTCCTACCAGGGGGCTGCTGCTGCGGCTGGCACTGCTGCTTCCAGAGGCCGCTGTGAGAAAACAAGAGAGGATTACTTTACAAAACAGAAAAAAACTGGAGTTAGGTATTGTTCTCTTCCTAGGGTCTGCCAAGCGCTACGCACGAGCAAGAGCACCCAGCTCGGGAGAGCAGAGGAACGCAGGAAAGGTCTAGCACTTTAATCTGAAAACCCAAACCCCAAAACACTTCAAGCCCAAGTATTCTGGATCAGAGATAGCCAACTTTGTACTGCTTATTTTCAAATACCCCCAGAAGCCAAGGTAATGCTCCCAGACTTCAACAGTGAAAGCTGAAACTTGGGAGCAAATAATATGCAGGCAGAAAGAATTGTCCACAATTATGATTCCTAAGGCAACAAATCTACTGTGTTAAATTTTTATTTAATTTTATGTATATGAGTGTTTTGCCTGCATGTAAGTGTACCTGTGCTTACAATGCCCATGATGATCAGAAGAGGGCCTTGCATCCCCTGGAACTGGAGTTATAGAGGGTTGACAGCTGCCATATGGGTGCTGGGAACTAAACCCATGTCTTCTGCAAGAGCAGCTAATGCTCTTAACTGCTGAGCCATCTCTCCTGCCCCACAATGTATTTTTTTTTTAAAGGCTATAAAGAATTCATAAAAAGAGCCCATTTTTCAATTAAAATGGCAAATAATTTTTCCTAACCATCAGTGAAACCGAAACTGTTCTCACATTTTATAGCTGCATTTCTTGGGGCACCATTTTCCCTCTAGGGTCAGGATGGTCTCCGGCAGCCTGATGGCCAAATCCAGGTCTCAGTATGTCCTATTTGGCCCTCATGGTAACAAAGTCATGTAAAAATGAGACTACATTAATTAGTCTGGAGTTCTGTCTTCTCTTGAAAAGGTCAGATCTGTTAATACCAGGCCCACAAAGGGACAAGGGGTTAGTTCTGCTTCCTGCAACAGGGGATGAGGTCTCAGCTCCAACAGTCCCCATGTACTCTAGTCTGTTCCAGGGTCAAGATCAAACACTGACATCATGTGCCTGACTCTGTAAGCAGTGTCAGACTTGTGATACTCTTTATTTACCATCCCAAGATTCCCTCTAAACTGTCTGGAGTATACTGCTTTTAATTTCTATATTGTACTATTCATTTCTTTTCATTGTCTTTCACTGAGGAATCACTAGTTATTCTCAGAAGAAATATACTAAGGATCACTCTTCAAATAATACAAAAGTAGATACAGTATTAATTGGGAAGACAAAATAATTTGGGCCTGGATTAGGGTTTTAGTAATACTAAGATGGCAAAGAATTCCTTTTAAAAAAATATTTTGTTTATTATTTTATGTGTATGCGTGTATTGCCTGCATGTAGGTAAGTGCACCCATGTCGTGCAATGCCCGCGGAGGACAGAAGAGGCTGTCGGATGCCCTGGAACTGGAGTTACGGACAGTTGTTAGTTGCCATGTGGGTGCTGGGATTTGAACCCAGGTCTTCTGCAAGAACAACCAATGTTCTTAACTGCTGAGCCATCTCTCCAGCCCCAAGAATTCTTAAAGTATCATTGAGTCCAGGAGTGGTGGTTCACACCTTTAATCCCAGTACAACATGGGAGACAGAAGCAGGCAGATTTCTGTGCATTCCAGGTCAGCCTGGTCTACAGAGAGTTCCAGACCAGCCAGGGCTATACATTGAGACCTTGTCTCAAAAAAAGATGATGAGTTTTGGCTATGGAGAAAAGAATAAAAGCCACACACACACACACACACACACACACACACACTCACACATGACAAGTTTAACAGAGGCCGAGTCCACTTGAGCTTGCTGAGGCACTTGTTAAATGCTGCAATTCTCATATGTGCCCAGGCCCAAGGCTTGTGTGAGACTGTGGAGATCCTCAGTTAATGAGTTGTTGCTAGAAAAAAACAACATAAAAATGTCTATACCCTTACCATACCCTTCGACTCTGTAATTTATAAGGACCTTAGACTAAGAAAATAATCAGGGTGTGCTCACAGATTTTTGAATTAAGAATGTCTGCCTTACATGTTTATAGCAATGAAAAACAATCATATACACGCTCTATGCCTAATAATAAGGAAATGGTAAGATGATAAATGCAGTAAATAAAAACACTGGTTTGGAAGAAGATGAAGTAACATGGATCTGCTCATATATCACATTTATAACTAGGAGAGAAGGCTGCCAGTGGTAATTTTTCAAGCCCACACCCTTGACAGCAAATTACCATACCTGGTGGGACCCACTTGGGTCTCTTGCCTTCAGATGAAGGGCTGCACATTTTGGCTGGTTTCCTAGTGGCCTCAGAAGAAAGAGAAACTGCCTTGGGTAAGGATGGAGCTTCTGACTTGATGACAGCTGGAGCGGCATCTCCTGAAGTCACTTATTTGAAAAGCATGCATAAAAAACAACCATCATATAATGTGTGAGTCTAACACGTATGTGTAAAAGGATAAAGTTTTATAACCTAATAAAAAAATCAGAAAGTAAAGATCACAAATTTGAAACAGTTCGACATTTATTAGTCAGGTATAGTGGTGCATTCCTGTAATCCCAATACCTGGGAGGCCGAGGGCAGGAGGACGTAAAGTCAGATGACCTGGACCTACATTTGGGGATAGAAGTTTGACTCTACAGGCCTTAAGATGTATATTAAGAGCACTTAATAAAATTGGGCTGGGGTGGATAGTGGAGGTGCAGATAGAGGAGGGGACTTAAATTCGATCAAAATACATTGCATAAAATTCACACAATTCAATAAAAATTTGTTTTTGTTACAAAAAAGCCTCCAAATAATATTTACTGAAAGCCTAAGGACTCTGATCTTATATATGCATTTCTTTATCAGACAATGGACCACACATGAGCTTTCAACCTTTACGACTCCCACCTAAAGATTACTGTCCACCATCAGCGAAGAAAACAGAGGTTAAGCAAGCCACCTGTAGTTTTACAGCTATTGTCTGAGCGGAGAGCAGAAACCAGGTTTGTCCATATTGTAACCATCATACAATAACGTCCCCTCTGAATATGTCAGCGAGACAGGACTGTGGGATTACACAGACTATTGGTAATGTATCCTGCTCCCAAGAAACTTTCGGCCCTGTCACAGCAGTTTTTTGGGGAAAGACAGCAATGTGCCAAGAGATAATGCCATACTCTAGGCATGTGCAGTAAGGAGGGCCCTTGGAATCTTGTGTGTGTTTAGGAAACACAGGGAGGTAGATGAGCATGGACAAAGCCAAATCAAGGCTGAGCAGTCAAGATGAGTGGAGGGAAGTTTCTTAGGCAGAGAGTAGAGTGTGCAAAGCCAGAGCATGCAGCATGTTCCTGAACTGGTTCAATATGGCTGGAGCAGGAATCTGAGGGGAGGGAAAAGTGAGAACTACCATTAGAGCACTCTCATTTACAAAGTGCACTGCAGGCCACACAAGTCTGGTTGGTTAAAAACATGTTAAGTTTTCTCAGGAGCGACTTCCATGTCTAAGAACAACTTGTTGGTCCCTGGTGGCAGACATCTGCCAGGAGGTTGTCAGGAGGACTGAGAGTTCAAGGCTAACCTGGGCTACATAACAAGACTCTTTCTTAAAAACAGAACAAACGAGCCAGGCATGGTGGTGCACACCTTGAATCCCAGCACTTGGGAGGCAGAGGCAGGTGGATCTCTGTGAGTTCAAGGCCAGCCTGGTCTACATAGTGAGTTCCAGGACAGCTGGAGCTACAGGGAGACCCTGTCTCAAAAAGACCAAAAAAAACCCAGAACAAACAAGCCAGTGTGGTGGCACATGCCTTTAATTCCAGCAGTGGAAGCAGAGGCAGGTGGGTCTCTGTGAGATGGAGGCCAGCCTGGTCTACTCAGCAAATTCCAGGCCAGTTGGGGCTACAGGGAGACTCTGTCTCAAACAAACAAACAAAAACAAAAAATAAATGAACCCAGAACAAACAAAATATCTTTCTGGTGGCAAGACAGGGCAAGCAGATCACTTAGAAAGTTATGATAATCCAGGTGAAGGCTGATAAGGGCCTGAACTGAAGTGGTAAAAAAGGATAAAAGAGCACATTGGATGTTTTAGAAGCTGGGTGTAGTGGTAGATGCCTTTAATCCTAGCACTTGGGAAGCAGAAGCAGGTGAGCTGGTTGGGTTCTTTTTTGGGGCCTGGAGGAAGAGAGGTGGAATATAAATTCCCTTTCAGGGGCTGTGAAAGCAAGAGGACCCAAATTTAAATCCCCAGTACCCATACAAAAACCAAACATGGCCATGTATGCCTGTCACCCCAGCATTGTAATGAGACAGGCAGACTGCAGGAGTTCACTGGCCAGTCAGCCTAGCCCAAACTGAGGAAGACACCTGATGTCATTTTCTGACCTCTCCATAGGCATGTTCACCCTCACACACATGTGCCATGTACCCCTACCAAAACTCCCCTTTCAGACAATGCTTGCTTGGAGATACTGAAGGCATATCTAAATACATGTGATTCTGAACAATTTCACTATATATTCTTCCTAAGGTTAACATCTGCATTTCCCAAGCAGGCACTGTCTATCAGGATCTTCTGGGATAGAAACAGTCTTTATATTGGACAGAGCTGTTTCCAAAATTTTCTCTATCAATTGAAAAATGATAATGTATACTAGGTAAGACCCTCTTTTAATTAAAAAAAATTTAATGATTTATTTTAAAGTGTATTTTTATTTTAAGTGTAAGTGCACCTGTGTCATACAATGCCTACAGAGGCCAGAAGAGGGCACTGGATCCCCTGGAACTGGAGTTACAGCTGGTTGGTGGGTGCAGAACTGAACCTGGGTCCTTGGGAAGAGCAGCCAGTGCTCTTAACTGCTGAGCCATCTCTTTAGTCCCCAGATAAGATTCTTAAAGGGGAACCAATAAATTATTAGTAGAGCTAAAAATAGAAGTCAGTTTATCTTTATTTCTTATCCCCTTAATACTTTTTACTTTCAATATTAAATCTCCTTTATGAAGGAACTCACTCCAAGATATACTGAAAAGTGGAAAGTTCCAACTTGGAAATTAAAACTTTTTCATTTCTAGTGTGTGCTGGTAAAGCATCTAAAGAAAATATAGGACTGAGGGCTCAGCTGGTAAAAGAGCTTGCATTGCAAGCATGAGGACCGAAGTCCAATGCCATGCACCCATGTGCATTTGTAATCCTAGCACTGGGGAGGTAGAGATAAGTGGGTCTCTGGAGCTTGCTGACCAGCCTAACCTTATTGGTGAGCTTCACGCCAGTGAGACCCGGTCTGGAGGTGGACAGAACCCCTGGGAATCACACCTGACACCCGAGGCTGTGCTCCAGTTTCCATATGCTTGCATGAACACTCTTGAGTGCACACACACACACATACACACACACACACGTAAAAAGTTTTTCTTATCATTAATGACTTTCATATTATAACTCATCAGAGGAAGACTAGCCTCTTGAAGACGTTTATACCCTAATCTCCAGAAAATGTCACCTTATAGGCAAAAGGAACTTTGTAAGTGACAAGTAGAAGAGTCAGAGACAGTTCAAGTGCAACAGGTCACAGGACCAGAGACAGCCGCCTCGAGAAGTGGGAAAGGCAGAAATTGGGTCTTCCTGTAGACGGCCCTGCTCACAGCTTGGCTTCAGCCACTTTGGACTTAAAACTATAAAATCATAAGATGGGTGGTCATTCATCAAAACAGCATTAAGAAATTAGCACAGCTTTATCTCTAATAGTCCCTATATTTAAAATCTATTTGTAGCTGGACATGGTGGCACAGCTCCATACTTCCTATACCTGGGAGGTTCAGGCAAAATGACTGCAAGTTCAAGGCTAGCCTGGGCTACACAGATGATTGCAAGTTCAAGGCTAGCCTGGGCTACATAGACAAGTGCAAGCTTAAGGCTAGCCTGGGCTAAACAGTGAGTTTGAGAGCAGCTTAGTCTACTTCGTAAGACTTTATCTCAGAAAGTAAATCCAATTTGTGGAATCAGATGAATTTATCAATTTAAAAAACATTCAAATTAAAAAATAAAAAATTGGTATGACTAAGTAAAGCAAGTTAGTAAAAGTCACATTTTGTAATAATCTATTATACAGCATGAACTAACTTTTAAGCACAAGAATCAGGTACTCCATGTTGAAGTTGTCACAAATTCCCAAAGTTTCATTCTAAGAATTACTTCTAATTGTTTGGGAGAGAAAAATAAGAAAAATCAAAACTTATAGTAAGCATGTCACAAACAAGCTCTCAAAGATTAGGTCAAGCAGGAGAGCAGATCATTCATGTGAGCTAAATCACCCAGAGAAAATGTGGTCCAAGGACAGAGCCTCCCCCTCTGAGTGGACAATCCTGGGATCGAGCTGCAGCCCCTCATTTATTAGGTGGACCAGCATGCATTTAGATTTTTCTGAATGACATGTTTTGCACTAGGCTTACCTGATGCACTGCATTTAGACTTAGAGTTCTTCTCTTTCTTTTCTACCGGGGATTTTCTCTTCACGTCTTTCTTCTTAATTTCCTTAACTTTACTTTTTTTCACAACAAAGTCTCCATCACTTCCCCGACTCTCATCAAAATCAGAATCATCTTCTGAGGCTTTACCTAAAACACAAGATTGTACACTTTGTCTTTGTTCTAAAAGCGAGAATTCTGTGGACTCAACTTTATCTGCAACTTTGTATCAGATTTTCATGCATCGCTGAAAATCTCCAGCGACAGAACCCTACAGAGCCAAACTTGCGGGGGCCTGGCTTGAATCGAGCCCCTCTGCGTGCACGCTGGCTGACCTCGGAAGGTCGCTAAGCTTAAGGTGCTACGGTTTCCTCATCTAGGCAACCAACACCACCGGCTGTTCTGCAGTCAATGAGCTAACAAGCATAGCGCATTTGGAGTCGCACCTGGCATGCAACAAGCACAGTCTAAGTGCCTGCCACTACTATTGTCACCATCCTGTCTCAGCAGTCACTTTTACTTCCAATTTCACCAGTTTAGATCAGTAACTCTGGAAAAGAATGGCCAGTCTGATGACAGCTAGTCTTTCAAAGCATGGCACCTGAAGTAAAACAGAATACCCTCCGTAATCGCATGAACTACAATGTTCTGGAACCCACCCTCCTACACAAACCAGAGCCAACAACCTTTACTCTTAGCTGTAAGCAACTTCATTGGAGACACACCTGTTTCTCACAGGCTCCTTTCTGTACTGTATGGGATGGTATAAGCCAGGGATGCTCAGTGAACTGAAGAACAACTTAATAAAGTAACAGGTGTGGAGATGGTGTTCCCAGAGCTCTAAGTCATCCGTTTCCATCCCTGGGCAATCTAGAAGGCCTAAACACTTGAGTTATAGATCCTGAGAGTTACAGAGGTCTTAAGAAAAGCTGCCCTTTCAACAGTTCTCTCTTTGCTTTCCCCAAGGAAGTCCTCAAAGGGTCCTTTCTCTCCTCAGTTAGTACAAGCCACTAGGGGACTCTGCACTGTCTTTGGGGTAGCAGCCACTTCTTAGCTACTATGAATTGACGCTATGCATACATGTGTGCAGACATCTCTTCAAGACCTGGACTTCAACTGTTCTGCACATAAGTGCAGGGTGGGGCTGCTGGATCACATGGTAGGCATTTTTAATTCTTTGAATTACCACACTATTTTCCATTTCAGCTGCACCATTCCAGCAACTCTACCATCACTGCACAAAGGTTCCAATTCTTCCATACCCTGAACTAACAATTGCTATTTTTTCTTTTCTTTTTAAGTGGCAGTCCTAAGCGGTGTGAGATGATCTTTCATGGAAATTTTGGCATCTGCACTTCTCAAATGCTTAATGACGTTAAGCATCTTTTTAGATGCTTTTTGGACATTTGTGTATGATCTTTGGAGAAATGTGCATTTGAATTCTTAGCTTGAACTTCTAAGGGACAGAGGCAATTATAAAGTCACTTTGTCTAAACTATGATTTCCAAATAAAATGTGATTTATTTATTTATTATTTATTTATTTATTTATTTATTCATTCATTCATTTGGCAGGGTCTCTTGTGCCCGAGGCTGGCCTCAAACTTGATATATAGCCGAGGATGGTCTTGAACTACTGATCCTCTTGTCCCAACCTCCCAAGTGCTGGGATTCGAAGCATGTGTTACCACACGGGACTAAATTGTGTCTTTATAAAATAGTTCAAGAGAGGTTCTAAAGTCAGAATGCAAATAAAAAACTATTCTTTGTAAATGTCTACCAAATCTATAGAAATAGAACTCCCAAATTATGTAAACCCAATAATCAAAACAGGTGATTCATTTACACATATATAGCAAAATTTTTCATTCTTCATTGAAGACAAATTATTTGGTTAGCATGTTAAGACTTCTAATTTATTTTTTAAAACATTTTTCTTTTTACTTTACATGTATGAGTGTAGTGCCTGCATGTATGTAAGTGCACTCGTGTCATATAATACCTATGGAGGTCAGAAGAGGGCATCAGATCCTCTGGAACTGGAGTTACAGATGGTTGTTAGCCACCATGTGGGCGCTGAGAATCAAACCTGGATCCTAGTGCTCTTAACTGCTGAGTCATCTCTCCAACCCCTAGACTTCTAATTTATAACTTAGTCACTCAATGGTTTTTCAGATAGTCATGGATCAAATAATGAAACTGACACTCTGAAGGGGTGAGAATCATTACCCTTGGAAAACATAATTCAATTGTAGAAGGAATTACTCTCATTGGGGTTTTTGTGATAAGTAACCTCATGCTGAGCAGCATTTACTACATCTCTCCCAGGCTCCTTGGGTGCCTTTTCTTTTGCTGGTCTTCCTTGTAATATCCGTTTCCCAAAGTGAGAGCCACAGACAGGCCACTTGCTTAGGTAAAAGGGCAGACTTTTCTAAAAAGGCAGATTTCTGGGCTGGAGAGATGGCTCAGCAGTTAAGAACATGGCTGTTCTTGCAGAAGACCCGGGTTTGAATCCCAGCACCTACATGGCAGCTAACAATCGTCTGTAACTCGTTCTAAGGGATACGACAGCCTCTTCTGTCCTCCGCGGGCATTGCATGACACGGGTGCACTTCCTTACATGCAGACAATACATGCATACACATAAAATTAAAATAATAAATAAAATTAAAAAATAAAATTAAACAAAAAAAGGGGCAGATTTCTACCTGGTAGTCAGATTCCTTGGAAGGCAAGGCTAGAGAATCTGTATTTTAACAAGGTGGTGTGGTGACTCTTCAAATCTGGTTAAGTGTTGCAGTAGAACCCAGTGCCTTGTGTGTGCTAAGCAAGTGCTCTACCAACTGAGCCTCATCCTCAGCCTTGGTTTATCAAGATGGGGTCTAGCTCAAGGCTGGCCTTGAGTTCACGATCTCCTTATCCCAGCCTCTAAGTGCTGAGATTACGTGTGTGTCTCACTGCTCTATCCACTGCCACCAGAACTTCCTGTAGAACCACTCCGCTGCTCTTCTCAGGCTGCCCTGCCCATGCTACGGGCTCTAATTATTACGTATGGATGACTTCTTTCCTGAATTATCTCAGCGCAGGCTTTGAGGAAATTTCGCTGAATCTCAAACCCAACTAGCTTACGACAGTTCCTTCTCTTTCCTGCAAAACCCTGATATTCACATGGCTTTCTTATCTCAGCTATCAGCATCTTCATTTTTGTGATCAGGAGGTTAAGGGCCTTGATGTCATAATCAATTTTCTTTTTCTCCCACCCTCTCCATATGCATTTCCTGTTATTCTGGTATTATATCAAGCCTCACCTAGAACACTACTTTTGTTTGTTTTTGTTTTGTTTTTTTTTGAGACAGGGTCTTTCTGTAGCCCCAGCTGGCCTGGAACTTGCCATAGAGACCAGGCTGGCCTCAATCTCATACAAGTCCACCTGCCTCTACCTCCCAAGTGCTGGGACTAAAGGGGTGCACTATCACACCTGGCTAGAGCCCTTCTTATCCAAATCACAACTTGCTACCCATATGCTTCCTTCCTATCTCCTCAGAGCACTCCTTCATACATTGCCAGCTGCCTCCTATGCTCCCCAAAACTAAGATCTGCAAATAATGGCCTTAGAGCTGATGGTCTAATATATATACACATACATACATACATAATTAATTCAGTTAAAATGCAACATGTTTTTCAATTTTCAGTTTTCTTTCGCTTTTCTTCAACTTCTGGCATCAGTTCTCCATCTAACGATATCGTTTCCACCAACCCACAAATATGTAGGGAAGAGCCACAAAGTCTCTTCCAAATACCTTGGTTCTAGAACGTTCCAAATTTATGCTCCAACCCAGCCTTGTTGGGTGACTGTAGAACAGCTAATTCTTCTTTGCTCACATTCTTCATCCAGAATAATTTCTCTTTCCCTAAACCTTTTCCATTTCAGTAAAAAAAACCCCACAAAACACCACCACAATCCACAGGCAACCTGCCATTCAAACCAAAAACCTTATTATTCCTGGACTGCTTTTTCTCCTACTTTATAGCTGCTCCATCAGCAAATTCTATAGGAAAATCCTCAAACCTAGAAAAACTGATGACTTCTCAGCCTCTCTACCCGTTACATTGGTCCCAGCCACCACCTCGCACATTAGAGTACTGGGCGGTCTCCTAACTTGTTAAACTCAATCTATTCTCAACCTCGTCTTTGATGATCCTTTAAATTTTTAATTAAGATTGTATTCTCTCTCTCTTTCAAATACTGACAACTGTCTGTGAAGTCCTACTTCATCTGATTTCCCCTGTAATTTCACTTCTTACGTTTCCCTTTCCTTCCTCGCTCATTGGCCTTAGTATCACCCAACACTACGTATGCCCCTGCCTCAGAGTCTCTCTATATACTATTCCCTATGTGAAACATTTTCTGCAAATCTTCACATGGTTTTCTGGCCTTAAAGGTCATCTCAGAGCCACCTTCCCTGACCTGAAACAACACTGCCTAGTCCTTTCCAGCGTCCTCTTATGTCCTCTGCCCTCCCTTCTTCTTCACAGGTCTCCATCCCCTATAGTCCTAGGGATCAAACACTGGATCAAACATGCTGGACAAGTGTTCTACCATTGAGCTACCCCAGGCCCTTCCTAGTTTCTGTACCATGGTTCTAGACACATGATGAATGTGTTTTATCATCTGTGGCCCCTAATTAGAATCTTTCTGAGCTCCACAAGGACAGGAGCTGTTTGTTTTGTTCATTACTGTATCCTGAGTGTCTAGACTGTGGTGTCCATCATGGGAATCCAGTATTTGTTCATTAAGTGTTGATGAACAAGACTGTTACTTGTTGACAGCATGTTAAAATCTAATATATTGCATCTGATTTGGTAAAAATGTACAGATTTATTCTTTAAAATTTTTAACATATTACAATGCCATCAAAGCCACTATATTTTCCCTGTGCCTTAATTTCTAATAAGTCTGAAAACAACTGTGAAATAATATCATTTCCAACTCAAAGTATAAGCTTCTACTAGTTATAGGAACGTTAAGACCTCTTAGAATAGGTCAAGAGATGCTCCACGACTTGAGGCCTTATTCATGTTCTGGGCCTTCCCAAGACTCACTGAACTTTCCTGTATGTGCACTTATTTACTCCTCTGCTCACACCTTTCTATCAGTAAGAAATGTAATTTCAACCTTCAATTTGTCTAAATGCTACTTGTTTTCCAGACTTGGCTTAGAGTTACCCCTGGACACAGCTTCCCTGGAATGCCTGGCTCAATTTAAATGATCTACATATTCCTGGAGTTTATGCTCTTTAGAGGCTTAATACAGTGCTTTGCGTACATCCTGGTCTCCAAGAACTTCTCACTGCCTTCCAGCAGAATTCACTTGAAGCAGAATGCAGCTTACCGGTTTCACTGTCTGGCTCAGTGTCGTTGGCAGTACTGCCATCACTGCCTTCCAGAAGCATCCTCCTCTGCTGAGCCTCAGCTTTCCAGGCTGCTTTTCTTTTCCCTTCAGCTCCACAGACATTCTCCTCCGTGATCTCATCCAGACCATCTGTTGGCATCCACAAGAGCTCTGAGGACTCTGTGACCTCCGCTGCCTTCCTTTGCCCAGTTTCATCCCACCTTGCTCCTAACCACACACTACACAGCCCACACTGGGACAGTCAGTCCATCAGGCTCCTGGCAACAGACTCTGGTCTTAAGGGTAAGTCTGAGGCCCCAAAAGAGTCTTTGCCCAAGATCTTTCCTGATGGTATTGGGAAGATGCAGTCCCTTTCTTCCGTGGTCATATGTTGTGGACTAAGGCCTTGCGTAGTTATTACTGTCCAGCAGGGAAGAAAGTAAGTCTGCAGTCAGAGAGAGGACTAAAGCTTAAAGAACACCAAGAGATAAAGAGAGCCTGGGGACACAGGAAGACCCTGTTCTAGCTACTTGCAGGAACTTAAAAGTTAGAAAATTAGCACTGTGGCTAGGCGTGGTGTCGCATGCCTTCAATCCCAGCACTCCGGGAGGTCGTGGCAGGCAGACCTCTGTGAGATTGAGGACAGCCTGGTCTATATAGTGAGTTCCAGGCTAGTTGGGGCTACAGGGAGACCCTGTCTAAAACAAACAAAAACCAAAAAAGAAAAAGAAAATAAGTTCTGTGAATGTTATTAATATCAAAACTCACCTAAACGATCACTGGCTACGCTGCAATTAGAGAGACGAGGAGCCTTATTCACTATTTCCGTTTTACTGCTGTCTTGTTTTTCAGTACCTAAACATAAAGAAGGAAACTGAGATACATCCTAATCAATCGATGTCTAGAAAACAGGAAGATTAGTAGTGTAATATAGCAACATCTAGATGCTAATGAATGGTCCCAAACTCATGCTCGCCCAGTGGTTCTGATTGGAGAAGCTAATACATATTTGGAGTTTGGGCTCTAATCAGACTTAGGCTCAAAGTCAGACTCTATCATGTAAGCTGGTTGAGCGTCTCCAGGATTTATATGAAGAGAAAAATGTCCTACATAATTATCATGGGAGAATAAATTCAAATGGAAACTGCTTTTTATACTACCAAATACAGTCCAGAAATAATAACCATCAGTTCTATGTAGACAAATTCATGTTTTTCCTAACATACGCTTTGACTGTTACAAACTTAAATGATCAAGAAAGAGCTAGAATATTTGCCCAGTATACACGAGATCCTGGATTTCAGCCCCAACATCAAAAAACAAAACAAAAAAAAGAAAAATCGCCAGATCTCAAGCGCATAGGAGACTTAAAAAAAAATAATATTGACACATTAAACCCTGCAGGCTATGAAGAGTATTACAGGGAGAAGTGGCATTTTCAAGTAATTCCTGCTATGCATTCTACAATGTCTTCTGAGAGATGAAGTTTATTTCCTCAATTTCAGAACAGTACATGACAATGTTTTTGAAATTTCTTTGATCCCTGATTAATAAAGGTCTCCCTAGTCAAAAATGTTTATTCTTAAAGAGGCAGTACTAATTACAAAAAACATAACAAAACAACAAAAGCCTCACCAATATCACTACACACTACAAGGTTGCCAGGAAAAAAAAATTCAAGGGCTGGAGAGATGGCTCAAGATGTTAGAGCACTGGCTGCTGTTAAAGAAGACTGGGGTTCAAATCCCAGCACCCATATGATGGCTAACAACCATCTGTAACTCCAACTCCAGGGGATCCAACACCCTCTTCTGACCTCCGTGGACATTGCATGACATGGGTGCGCTTGCACACATGCAGGCAATATACTCATACACATAAAAGAAAAATAATAAAATATTTTCTAAAAATTCAAAGGTGAAAAATGACAGAAATCTAGAAGTCATTCTCTTAAATCTATTAAACTTGCTTGCTAACTTGGTACCTTTAACCTTTATAGATCATAAAAATTATCATCACTAGGTCATGTTCAAGTAATCTAGATTTAAAGGAAAAGGAAGAAGGCTGTTAGGACTGTACAGATCATTTCTCAAGAAACTGGATTTTTCAGTGCACAGCAACATGTAGCCAAGCAGCAGCCCCAGTGTATGTCCTGGTTTCTTTAGGCTCCATCAGAGGTGCATGCGTGTGGCACTGATACAGTTGAACAAAGACCTGAATGGAGTGGTACTCTCTGTGAAGTGCCCTTTTTATAGTTCAAATGTATTCTTTCCTCTGTGAAAGGCTATCTAAAAAAGTATTACAAAACAGTAAAAAGCATTCAAAAATAAATACACAGAAAACAAAGTTACTTTTCTCTTGAGACTGCTGCTCCCAGCTGCTGACTGCTGGACATTCCTTCACTGATAGAGCCAGGGCAACTTCTAAGCCTCTCTGGAAGACCTTGTCATCTAAAGCCACCCTACAATAGACATACAAACAAGCTTTTAATTTCAGTTTGAGCATCAATACCATTAAATTTTACCAAAGAGCAAAGTTTCAGATGTTCCTCTGTTACTATTTAAGAGCAGCTAACCTCCAATGTACTTAAATATAATCATCATTAACTGACTTTTGATGATGAGACTCCTAAAATGCAACAAGACTGTGTTGTATGTGGTATAAGAGGCGTGGGCAGGACAGCCTGTGCCTCTATACTGACTGTTCCTTTACCTGTAATGTGTCTACTATCAGCTCTGTCTAGGAAGCTCTAGCTTAACCTAACAGACTCGGTTCAAGCATCACTTCCACCTGCACATCTTCCTTGTTCTCACCCACACCCTTTGGCAGATAATGCAGTTGTGATAGTGAAGTCATTTTTATATCTGTTCCTCCTAATCTAGACTTTAACAAATATTGTACTATATATTGCATAAAAGGCAGTATGCTAGGTGCAAGACTAAAAGTAACCTCAAGGCATCTTCAAGGAGAATGAGGAAGGTGCAGGAAATAAGTCATACCAGTAATTATCCCATAGAAGGCAGATGGTAATAAGTCTCCTATTTAAGGTGGTCAAAAGTGTTAATGATTACAAGAGGAACAGTCAAAGACAGATAAAGAAATGCATCAAGAACGAAGAAGTACTAAAATGTACCTTGAAGAACTGATTATGACGATTATTATTATTTACTTATTTTTATTTTTTTGTGTATTAGTATATTGCCTGCATGTGTGTTGGGGCACCCGTGTTGTGCAGTGCCTGAGGAGGACAGAAGAGGGTGTTGAAGGCCCTGAAACTGGAGTTACAGACAGTTGTTAGCCTCCACATGGGCACTGGGAACTGAACCCAGGTCGTTGAGAAGAGCAGCCAAAGCTTTCAACTGCTGATCCATCTCTCCAGCCCCTGAACTGTGTATCTTAAACGAATGACTCCAATGGCACATGCTTACTGGGTCTTACCTCTCACCTTTTTTTAGGGGTTTTCTCTGGTATGATGTCTTCTTTCTGGAGACTCTTCACATTAGATTTAGGTTTGTCTTGTTTTAACTCCTTTTGTATTATTTTGGACTTCTTGTTTGGAGGTACGGTTGCAGGAATAAAATCATCTATTTTGTGTAAATTAAAAAGAAGTAAAATATTTTCTTGGCAGCTAAAAATCATAGTGCACTCACATTTTATGCATAATCAAGTTTAATTTTCACACTTTAAAAAAATCAGTAAAGAGAGTTGGTTCAGCAGTTACAAGCACTGGCTGCTCTTGCAGAGGACCCAGGTTTAATTCCCAGCACCCACATGGCGGCTAACAACTCCAGTTCCAGGGGATCGGATGCCCTCTTCTGACCTCTGCAGTCATTGCATGACACAGGTACACCTACATACATGCAGGCAATCCACTCATATACATAAAATAAACATAATAAAGCCAGGCGTGGTGGCACATGCCTGTAGTCCCACCACTTGGGAGGCAGAGGCAGGCGGATCTCTGTGATGAAGAACTTACTGTGAAGCCTTTGACAAGACATTTGATACTCTGGAATGTAGATTTCCACTGGCATTTAAAAAAAAAAAAAAAAAAGAAAAAAAAATCAGTATAGACAGGTTGTATTCATTTTTACTTATCCATCTCAACATGGATGGGGTCTTTAAAAAAAAAAAAAAACCTAGCCGGGCATGGTGGTGTACCCCTCTAATCCCAGCACTTGGGAGCTTGGGAGGCAGAGGCAGGTGGATCTCTGTAAGTTCAAGGCCAGCCTGATCTACATAGCAAGCTTCAGGCCAACTGGGACTACAGGGAAATCCCATCTCAAAAAGACCAAAAAAAAAAGAAAACAACAACAACAAAAAACCCCATACATACATACATACATACACACACACACATATATATATACATATATATATCTCAAGTTTTAAAAAACCCAATTCACTGTATGAGTGTATTGCCTGCATGTGAGTGCACCTGTGTCGTGCAATGTGTATGGAGGCCAGAAAAGGTCACTGGACCCCCTGGAACTGAAGTTACGGACAGTTGTTAGCCACTATGTAGGTGTGGGAATCAAACCTTGGTCCTCTGCAAGAGTAACCAATGCTCTTAACCACTGAGCCATCTCTCCAGCCCCTAGGGTTTGTTAATATACACTGTTTTTTCATGCTTTCTCACATAGGCTCATAACATGACTTTCTGCACATCCCACCCCACCCAGTATCCAGGACACAAACTGACAATTTATACATCTCTAGTGAAACACCCATAACAGTAACAGAGGGCTAGACACTGGTTTCTGTATTTTTTCTCAGTAAACATATAATCAGTATGGCAAAGCTTAAAGGTAAGTTTCCAGGGCTAGTGAGATAGCACAGCAGTTAAGAGCACTGTCTGCTCTTGCAGAGGATCCAGTTTCAATTCCCAGCACCCACATGGCAGCTAACAACCATCTGTAACTCCAGTTCCAGGGGATATGACAACCTCTTCTGGAGCCCTGCATGACAGGGGTACACCTATCTACGCACAGGCAATACACTCATACACATAAAATAAATAAAATATATTTTAAAAAAATATAAGTCTTCAAGGTCTAATTTTTTCAAATCTACCTCATACATAATAAATTCTGAGGAAATCAATTTCTAAACCTGTAAAGAAAAAGTAAGAAGTTCTACTTACCATCACTATCCGAGTCCTGAAACTGCGAGTAATTGACTGGTTTTTTATTTCTGTGATCGAGACAGAATTTTCATTAACACAAATGTTAATTTTTATCTTCATTTCTTAGTTATTAATAGTCTCAAAAAGAAAACTGTGTTTGGATTCTCTTAAAAATACTTCAATCCAAAACATGATTCACATTTCATACAGAAACGTGGCACAGGAAAAAAATGAATTCAGAAACCCCAAAGGAGAGTCCAGGTGATCAGCAAGAAGAACTGGCATCTCTTCAGTGGCCGTAGCTACTTATAAATTCATGTGCTGCTTCTTTGTTCTTGTCATCCTGTCAAGTACTTGTGGGCTCTAAATTCATCTCTTTTTATTTATCTATTTTCATTTTTATGTGTATGGGTGTTATGCCTGCATGTGTGTAAGTGCACCCATGTCCTGCAAAGCCTGTGGAGGACAGAAGAGGGTGCTGGATCCCCTGGAACTGGAGTAATGGATGGTTGTTAGCTGCCATGTGGGTGCTGGAATTTGAACCCAGGTCTTCTGCAAGAACAGCCACTCTTAACCACTGAACCATCTCTCCAGTTCCTAAAACCATCTTAAAAAAAAACTCTCCACAATACTGTGAGCACTGTAAGAGTTTTGTAAAGTAAGAGTTTTCTTACTTTGATAGACACTAAAATGATGACTTTATCTCTACTGTGTGAAAGGAATCTTTGCACAACCTAAAGAGGCATCAGAAGAAAAGGATATTCAAAGTGAAAAAAAAAAATTCCCTTTTCCCTTCTCTAGGGAATAAATGTAGCGCTTTTCCAGTTTTCCCTCCTGGCTTCTATTCAACATCCAGGTGGAAATAACTTGGTTTATCAGTTGGCTGTTCTTTCATGTAAAAATGGAGTTCTGTGAAAAAGAGGCTAGTCCCACTCAGAATTCAGTCTCACAAGCGTGATTTCTTAAGAAAAATAACATTCTGTGTTGTCCCATGGCCTCATACACAATATTAAAAGTAAGGGTATTGTTGTACCCACGAAATCTCTATAATATTGTTGTTTAACTAGACATGCAGAATGACAACACCAATTGACAAGCCAGTGCGGATGAGGGAAATGACACAGGGTTCCACCTCTAGATGAAAAGCTACAGGCCATCAATGGATGCTGAGGGCAGGAGAATCCGTTTTCTCCAGGGACTAGCTCTCTGAGAGGTTACCTAATCCCAAGTGGTCATGCACACAAGCACCACTAAATGGATTCAATGCATTATCACACACGCACACACACACACACGTATGTATATCTATAAATGAATGTATGGATAACAATAATAAGGAAGAGGACAAGAAATTGAGAGGGAGTGTGGAGAGAACAGGAGAGGAGTCGAAGAGGGGAGTTTGGGGGTGGAAATCATGGAAATACAGTTCTCATATATGAAGCTCTCAAAAACAAAATTTAAAATGATTAAAAAAAAGAAAGGGTATGCATGTTACTCCCCTATTTCTCAGAGTTAAATAATTTGAGAGCTGCACACAATGTAAAAATATCTTTAGAAATTCAGAGATTAATAGTTTTAAAAAAAAAAATCAAAAGTCTACTAACGAGTATATCCAAGGGTTGAGCTACCGCAAATATACTAATTCTCACTGATTCATGGAATACAAATTACCTGTTGTGTTTTAGATACTGGATGTGGTGAGATGTGTAGAAAATCAAATTTTAAAAATTCAAGTATGTAGCAATAAAGAATGCAAGGACTGTTACCAGCAGTTGATGCCACTGTCTCGATTCATGCTAAAGTTACTAACAGGTCTATCACCACTGCAGTACAAGTGACAGAAGAGGGGCTGGAGAGATGGCTCAGCAGTTAAGAGCACTGGTTGCTCTTACAGAAGACCTGGGTTTGAATCCCAGCACCCACATGGCAGCTAACAACCGTCCATAACTCCCGTTCCAGGGAATCTGATACCCTCTTCTGTCCTCTGCAGGCATTGCAGACATGGGTCCACTTACACACGCAGGCATAATACTCATACATATTAAAATAAATAAATTGCCAGGCATAGTGGCGCACTTGGGAGGCAGAGGCAGGTGGATCTCTCAATTCAAGGCCAGCCTGGTCTATATAGTGAGTTCCAGGCCAGCTGGGGCTACAGGGAGACCCTGTCTCAAAAAGACCCCCCCCCCAAAATAATAAAACAAAAAGAAAACAGCGTTCTAGTATTACCACAAAAATAGAAAAATAGCAATGGGCTAGTGAGATGGCTCAATGTGTAAAGATGCGTGCTGCACAAGCCTGATGACCTGAGTTTAACCCTGGGTCCTGCATAAAGATGGAAGTAGAGAAATGACTCCAAAAAGTTGTCCTCTGATCTCCACATGCACCATGGCGCATGCACCCCCACCCCTATCATGCACATACAATAAATGATAATAATTTTAAAATATAGTAGTGATCCCACCGGCCTTCTGAGGTTTCAGGGGCCCTAGAGGCCTGCAGATTATTGTGACCACTGCTGTCCCAAATAAAAGCATGTCTTTACTATTTGTACGCTTATGTCATTTCCAGAAATCCAGATCTCCCTTCTAAACATCTTAGATTTCTCTATCAGTTAATACAAAGACCAGCCATCCATAGCTCAGCCCTCAAATATAGTCATCCTCGATTCTTTTTTTTTTTTTTTTCTTCCTTGCCCTGTATCCACTTGTCAGAAGTACTTAAACTCATGGGTACTATGGTCACCACCAACATTGTGCCAAATCGCTATCCAGCCTTCCAATTGGTTTTCTTCCTTCTATTCTGGTCACCCCAGTTCCCACTCAATCACTACCAACAGCCAGTGACCTTTATAAAAGTAAATGAGAACTTTCACCCACCTCCACACTAAAGTGACTGCCTTCCCATGGGGCTAAGATAAAATCCAAACTCCTTTGTAAGCCCTACTGGCCCCTACTCACTTTGGCAGCTATTTATCTGACCCAATCCTCAACAGTTCTTCCCCATGCCTATTAATGCCACATCTTCCACCTGTCTCTATAATAGGGTCAAGTTCAAGACCTTGGCTTCTGTTCCATCGACTTGGATTGCTTTATATTTTTGGCCTAGCTAACTTTCTCACTCTATTTAAAGTAAGGCTTGTCTCCTTCCCTTTACGTTACATTAGGGTGTTTATCTTTGCTCCTCCCCTCCATCTTCCACTAGAGTGGAACTCAGTATTCAGTAACTTTTGTTTTTGTTTGGTGTTTCAGTACTTAGGCCTGAACCCAGAGCATCTCATATGCTAGGCAATCACTCTACCACTGGGTCATATCCCCAACTATATTCAGTAACTTCTAAATGGACGGATAGATCTAGGATCCCGACTTTGATTATGCAGAGTGGATTCCAATGGTATAAAGAGAAGCAGAGAGGATCTGCAGTCACGTAACAGGTTACTGGTACTTACAGCTATGTGGCTCAGGTAAATGGGCCTTGATGCCTAGAAGTATGAAACCCATAAAATAGGACTGTCTGCTTTTAGCCTGTCGCAGGACTGCAGTGGTGAATACATGACACATGCGTGGACGCTTGCTGAAATGCAACACGCGTCCAATGCAACCCACAGCGAGGTCTCGATGGAACAGGGTGGGTCAAAAGTCAATAGAGGGCGCGACCCAGGGTGCTGGGCCACTTCTGAGCATCACTGGGGACAGGTGACCAAGTCTCCACCGCCCGCTGCCTCGGTGTGACCCGGCCCCTCCTCCCAGCCTGAGTAACAGCTGTCCTCAGCGTCCCTTTCTCCCCTGGTCTCAAATCACTCACCTCGAAGGGCGCACCATGGTCCGTTCAGGAACCTTTGGGACAGACGCAGCGCCTCAGAGCCTGAAGGCAGCCTTGGCGGTTTCAATTCCCGCTCAAAACCAGATATCACGCGCCACGCCCCAAGGGCGCCAGCCCTCCAATCAATGCCGGTCACTGTGCCGACTGCGCATGCGCCCTGAGAAGAGCGCGCCTGGGTTTCCGCCCCTCGTCTCAGGGATGTGTTCCAGATCCGGTCGGCCAGAATCCAGTTCGTGCTTTACCATCGGCACTTTCGTCACAACAGCGACTTTGGTAGCGACTCTGAAATATAGAATAACAATCGTAATGATCCATATCGCATTTTCAAATGATTGAATGGAAGTGGACAGGGATAAAGGGGCACTTGGCCTATGAGTTTTCTGTGGAACTTGAGGAAAGCGGAAAAGATAGTGGCGAATCTGCCGTGGCGTATCTTCTGACTGTATAAACAAAGCGGGAAGTCAGCTGACGGTGCCTAAGCGGCTCTCCTTTGACAGCTCCGAGTGTAAGACAGCTTCCTAAGAAAGCGAGGTGAGCCAAACCCAGCGCTGGTAGGCCCAGTCGGTGCGGAAGCCCCCCGCGAGGGGGCTGAGCAGTCTGCCTGAGCTTGGCGGCCCGGCTGAGCCCGGCCCTCCCCACTGCTCCAGCCCAGCGCACACCGGAGCCTGTTTACAGCGGCGGAAACTGAGGCCGTCAGTCAGTAAGCCGAGGCAGGAGGATCGCGTATCTGAGGCCAGCCTGGGCTACATAGAGAGTCCCTGTCTCAAAACTACAACGAAAGACCCTGAAGATCCCGGGCGGGGTGGTGCACGCCTCTAATCCTAGCGCTCTGGAGGCAGAGGCAGGCGGATCTCTGTGAGATGGAGGCCAGCCTGGTCTGCTTTGCGAGTTCTGGGACAGCCAGTGCTACAGGGAGACCCTGTCTCAACACACACACACACACACACACACACACACACCAAAAAAGAGTGGAGGTAAATGGCTTTAAAGTATCAATATGCTGGGAAACAGGCTAAATGCTGAACCTTTGGAAACCATTGCTGATGTTTTGTTTATGGAAACTATTAATCCTGGACTAGATCAGACCATATGAATTTCCATTTCTCTATCTTTAAGTTCCCCACTAAATGGTTCTGTGCTCCCTCGGATTTTATGTAGCCTGGGGTTTTTATCCTGATGCTATTTTATCACTACTCATTTATCGATCATTTTCTTTTGATCCATTTTCTTTTGTATGTATGAGTGTATTGCCTACGTGACATTCTGACCCCATGTGCGCAATGCCCACGGAGGTCAGAAGAGGGCCTTGGATCCCCTGGAACTGGAGTAGCAGAGGGTTGTTAACCACTATGTGGGTGCTGGGAATTGAACCTGGGTCCTCTGCAAGAGCAGCCAGGGCTCTTAACCACTGAGCCATCTCTCTCCTTTTCTTTTGAGACAGAGGCTCCACCCAGTAACCCTGACTGGACTCACCCTCACCATGGAGCCCAGACTGGCCTGGAACTCTCTGTGATCCTCCAGCCTCAGCCTCCAGAGTGCTGGGATTTCTGGTGTGAGCCACCACACCCAGGAGTGTTTAGGTTTTGGTTGATCCTTTTGATCCTCAGGCCTTCGGGTTAATGGCACTATCTCCAGAGATGCCATTTGTTCAGGTGGTGAGTCAGTGGTGAGGTAGAGAAAGGTTTCAATCATTTGAATGACAATCAAAGACCTATTGTTATTTCTCTGCCTCCCTCTTTCAGCACATGTGTGTATTAATCATGTTAGGGGCTTTGATCCAGTTATAGATAAGATCCAGACTTGGCCTGAGGATACTCACAGGAATTCAATGATAAAGGGCCTTGTATGCCATGATAAAAAGTTTTGGAAGGAGACAGTGGGAAGTTTCAAGTGAAGGGAACCTAAAATGTGGAGGTAAGAGGATGGCTGATGCCCTAGAGGACTGAACCTGGTTCAACTGTTTAATACGATCCAGACCAGAGGTAGAGCTGCCACACACAGCAGGCTGTCCTGTCCCCTTTCTGTCTGTGGATCTTTCACTGTTCAGGCTTGAAGCTCTGGATGCCCCACTAGCTGGTACTCAGTATACACCTCCTGAAAGCTTTCCACTGGGACCTTTACTTGCAGTGCATGTGCTTTGCACTTAGCAGAATCACATTTTTTATAACTTTTGTATTTTAGCTCTTTTTGAAAAATGTATTCTCAAGTGTTGCCTCATCTTTATTTGTAGACAGTGCCCAAATGCAAAAAAAACTATGTTTTTAATGACTCCCTCCTTCCCCACCTGTCCCTTGTCCCCCTCCCACCTCCCCACACCCTCTTTTCTTGCCCTTCCCTCTCACTGTCTATTTTTTCTCAAAAATTAGGAATACATCCAGTGAAAGGAACATATATCATGTAGAAAGCTTGGTGAATTTACCACCAAACTGATAACAATGTTTTCCAGCATCCCATGAAGCTCTCAAACATGTTCACAATAATCCATAACCAAGTGGTGAGTCCTGTGCTAACTTCTGTCACCATCAGCTAATGTTTCCAGTTTAGGGTCTTCACGGAAGTAGAAATGTTAAAGCACGTGCTCTTTAACATGCACCTCCTTTTACTTGATGCATGAGATTCATTCATATTTTTATGTTTATTAGTGATTAGTTCTTTTTCATTGCTATGTAGTATTTTGCTAAATGAATAAACTAAACTTACTATTCTATTGATAAGGATTTTGGTTCTTTTCTAATTTGGGGCTAGTGTGACTAAAAATTCTATTTACATTGCTCTGGATGTCTCAGTGAGCATGTGCTTGTGTATTTGGATATATGTGTATGTAGGAGAATTTCTGCACCCAAGCAGGCTTTTCTGAAGTTTTGGCACTTATTGCCAATTTTATAAAATTGTTCAAATTTCCACCTATTTACATTTAATGGATAGTAATTAGCCAGCTCTGTAATATGTACCATATCTCCTTGCATTAGGGTGAAACAGACTAAACTTTTGTGTATAGCCTACATGTAGAATTGTAACTATAGTCTGGATAATTCGAGTTCTCAGTCTCCTCCCTCCAAAAACTGTTTTTGAGCTACTTTTCTACTTCATAGGACTCAATTTTTGATGAACACATATTAATTGTACATGTTAATAGATTCACTGTGATACTCTCCTCATGTGTGTCCCATGTATTGATAATATCTGTCTTTCCTTCCATTACCCATGCAAACCCCCAGCATCCTTCCCAGTCCCGATGATCACTGTCCTGTTTTCAGGAAGGTAGCCTCTTTCCAAAGCACAATATGGACACTTACTTGCCATCAAGTTTTTCTTTCAGATGTGCACCATGAAATTAAACCACAGAGCTCAACAGTGCTTGTTAGCTCCTGTCGTTAGATTCCAAGATCCTGCATAGTACAGGAAGTCCAAGACAGAGTTTCTCCCACCTGACAGAAAGCGTTCCAGTGAGAATCAGAGGTAGAACATGGGAGGTGCCATGGTACAGAGCCCTACAGGCTGACGTGTCAGAGCCCATAGCAGAGACCTGATACAGTCTTAGAGAATCAGAGCAGGCTTCCTGGGGCTTAGCCACAGAGTGGAAGAGTTTAGTACTGACAGAAGTTCAGAATATTTGGAAAGTCACATTTGTGAATTAGTATGTTGATGTGGAGGGATCTGGAGAGATGGATCTGGAGGTGCGAACTGGACTAAGTTCCATTGACCTGAGAGCAGTGGACTGACTTGTTAAACAAGTGAATGACAGGAAGATCTGCATATCCTTTTTATTGATCAGCTTTGTTATTTGAAGGTTCATATCTGTATATCATGTATTCTGACTGTGCTCTCCCCACCTCTCCCATTCCTGTCAGCTCCTCCCCATCTCTACCAGTCCCTTTCCCAGATTCAGGACCTTTTTTGGTTTGGTTTGGTTTGGTTTTTGGTTTTTGAGACAGGGTCTTGTAGTCTCAGCTGGACTGGAACTCAGTATGTAGACCAAGCTGGCCTCAATCTCGGAGATCTGCCTGCCTCTGCCTCCAGAGTGCTAGGATTAAAGGCGTGCGACACCATGCCCAGCAGCTTTTGGTTTTGTTTTTTGACCCACTTAGTTTAACCAGGCCAAATGTGAGCACTGGATTACAACTATCCATTGGAGCCTGGTGGGGCTCAGTTAGTACTCAGTGAAGGCAGTGATTCCCATTTTCCCCAGTCTATCCATATGAAATCATTTATAAGTGAGGGGTCCCTCTATCCCTGCTTGGCTGGGTCCATTCTTGTGCAGACCCAGTACAGATCGTCTGCAGCTGCTGTGAGTTCATGATTGTAGTAGCTGTGTCATACAGAACATGGCATTTTGCAGTCCTCTCTGTCTTCTGGCTCTTACATTTTGTTTTCTCCCTTTTTTGCAGTGTTCCCCAAACCTTCAAGGGAATAATGTAAATGTCTGGTTTCGGGATGAGCACTCCAATATCACTTATTCTCAGCACCTTGGCCAACCCCAAGTCTCTGCATTTACCACTGTTCACTGGAAAGAAAAGCTTCTCTGATTAAGGCTGAGTGTAGTGTTTGTCTATGGATATACATAATACTTAGATTGACACTATGTCAACTTTGCTAAGCAATGGTATTCAGCCCCCCAGGGCCTATCCTCTCCCCTGCCATGGGTTTTTGATCAGGTTTTCAGGCATGGGTTCCCTCCTGTGGAGTGGGCCTCAGATCCAATTAGAGAACAGTCTGTTACCCCCACAGTAGTAGTGCCACTATTGCAACGTGAGCACATCTTGCCTGGCAAGTTGATATCACATTTCCGAGGGTTCTCAGCTGCGTAAGACTGCTGATGCTATTTCACCCCCAGCAACCTGCATAGCCTCTTCCAGGACTGTGAAAGCTAGCCAGCAGAGAGGAAGCTTCCAGCTCAGTTGGAGCCTGATTTCTCTATGTCAGGCAACTAAGGTACATGAAGTCTTTAGCAGTAGCGTCTCATCATCTAATTTTGGTGGGCAACCAAGAGCAAAGGCAAGAGCCTGTATTGTTTGGGATCCTCTGGGGTATATATCCTTTTTAAAAGAAAGGTTATTATTATTTGAGTGTAGAAAATGCTGTAAGAACTGACTTGATGGGGGAAGTTCTAGCATCAGGGAGTCCAGTTGGGAGGCTGCTGAATGTCTTTAATGGCTCTCTCTACTACATTTTCCTCTCTGAATAGTGTCCATTTGCCTTGTAGGAGCATCCTGCACGTTCTGTTTCTCTGTGCATGTGCTTCTTTTGTGGAGATCTTTCTGACACTTTTACCCCTTCCCATCACATCTCAGGACCACAACATCTAAAATCCTGAGGATACCACTGGGTCCCTGTTGTGTTTCTTTGGCTGTTCACACCAGTTTCATGCGCTTCTGTCTCCGTGTATCTCTTCCTAAGAATCCTATGTGCTTCTGTCCCTGCCCTTGTATTGAGAACCTTATCTAGGAAGACAAAGTACTTTGCAAACTTTTTAAATTTATTTTTATTTTTCTGTGTATGAGTTTTTGCCTGCATATAGTGCACTCATGTCGTGCAGTGCCTGTGGAGGCCAAAAGAGAGTGTCATATCCCCAGAACTGGAGTTATGGATGGCTGTGAGTTGTCATGTGGGTGCTGGGAACTGAACTCAGGTCCTGTACAAGAGCAGCCAGTGCTTTTAACCGCTGAGCTATCTCTCCAGCCCCAAGACAAAGTACTTTATGAGCATAAATTTTTCCTGAAATTAAGTTAAAAATAAGCAGTATTTTGGTTTAGAAAAAGAGGAAGAAGTATTTCATGTTCCTTACGAAAGTGAACATGCAGTATTAATCACTTTAGCAACTAGAGTGGACTGGTCGTGGTGGCTCATGTCTATATTCCCAGTACTTGGGGTGCCAAGGGAAGAGGATTAAAGGAGTTTGAAGCCAACCTAGGCTATGTAGTGAGTTTCAGGTCAGCCTGGGTTACACAGTGAGACCCTGTCTCACATAAGCCAAAATAAAATAAAATAAAATGAAGACTAAATAGTTGGTTCAGAATCGCACAAATAAACTCTTTGGGTGATGGAGTATATTTCAAAGGTGGCACAGCCATTGTGAAACATGACAGTTTTTATGGACTTATAACTCGTTGCTTTTTTTCTTCATTATGTAGAAATCCTGATGAAGAACATGAATAAGAGCCAAGAAAGAATCTGCAGCAAAGAAAGAGAATTTGTGTACAGATTCCAAGCAGGAAGTGAGTGCTTTGAACTGAGAGTGCCCCTCGGCTTTCCTGTTCCCGAGAATGCGAGTCATTTGCACGGGCGCCTGATGCTGCTGCACAGTCTGCCATGCTTTATCGAAAATGGTGAGGATGACTGTCCGCTGCTCAGCAGAGCTTTGCTGTCCTATAGTTACAGCTTCGCATTGGAACAGATTCTTAAACTGGATCGTGTCCTGTGGGATTCCATAGCCGAAGTGAGGGTCATAAAACACTTGGCAACAGTAAAGGTTTCTGAACACATAGAGACTGAGAGTGAACTGAAAGTCAGGTGCATAAAGAGTCCAAGGGGCTTCTGGAAGTGTTAGGGGTGTTGCAGCACACAGCTTTATCGCAGCCTTGGTTCCGAACACAGCGCATGTGCCGCCGTGTGTGCGGTGCCAGTGAGTGCCCCGAAGCACCGCGGCTCAGTTTCAAGATGGCTGCGGCACAAGCTGCAGTACTTTACTGTATACAGTTTTCTGTTCTCATACAGCAGCTTCCAAAAATAAAAACTGGTCCTCAGAACTTTTTAAAGTTCGGTGGTTTCCCCCCTAGAACCCTTGTAGTTGTTAATAAGTAATTTAATATCAAATTTAAACGATATAACAAAAAATTCCAAGGTCTGGATGAGAATGCCTAATCTCATTGAGCTTGTGAGTTCCTGAGGCAATCACTAGTGCAGTAGAATTGCATTGCTGAACTGGTTTCTCTTTTAACAATCAGGTCATCAGTTTGTGAGGCCATGAACAGGAGTACTTACCTTCGAATAATCTCTGCCCCACCAAATTAGTCCCTAAGGTGGCCTGTTTTAAGTTATTTGAAAGGGCTGTGTTCTTTTTAGCAAACTGGGGACACTGTCAACTAGAGAAGGTGTTGGGTCTTAGAGTGAGTTCAGGGACCTAGAGATCTTCTCCTCTGTCACAGCAGACAGCAGGGAGCTGGGACACACGGGATGCTGCTTACCTCCGCCTTGCTTCTCAAATGCAGCCCCTCCCTAGAGCACAGCATCACCAGGAACTCCTAGACATGTGAATTCAGTGTTCGTAATTTTTAAACATTACATTGGTATTTATTGTGTGTGTGCATGCTTGAGTAAGCATGTGCTTGCCATAGCTCATATGTGGAAATCAGAGGACGACATTTGGGAGAGGCAGTTCTCTTCTTCCACTGTATGTGTCCCAGGGACCAAACTCATATTACCAGCCTCGGCTTTACCTACAGACACATTCTTGGGCCCAGCGCCATTCCTGCTGAGAGGCTCTGAGGGTGGCACCGCAGCAGGCACTTTCAGCAAGGCCTTAGTGAATTCTGACACACACTCCAGACTATGGACCCCTGGCCAAGGGGGCAGACAAGAGACAGAGCCAAGGCCAGAGGCAGGGATCCTGACTCCTGCCCCAGCAGCTCCCATTATGCCCATCTTGAAAATCAAATTGTAGCTGATCTAAATTGAACCAACTTTAATATGAGCATCATTCAATTTAACTTTCAAATTCAAAAGGTATAACAGTACGCCCTTTAAAGTTCTGAGGAAACTTTCACCTGAATGTAGTATCTTTCCGTCTCAACATCTGTAGGTTTTCCCTGTGTGCTTAATTCAAACTGTACTGACAGGTTTACCACAGACCATTGCTTAACCTGAATCAAAGTTCTACATGGAAGAGAAGCATTTCGATTTTCCTCCATATAACGCCTTCAGTAAAAAATCCAGTCTTCTTAGATGGGTTTATTTTGATTGAACATTCTTTTAAGGATATTAGCTTGATAAACCATACTTCACATTGTAGTTGGGCATGGCTGCACACAGCTTTCATCCCAGTGCTTGGAAGGCAGAGGCCGGTGGAGCTCCCTGAGTTTGAGGTCAGCCTGGTCTACATAGTGAGTGTCAGGCCAGCTGGGTTCTGCAGGGAGACCCTGTCTCAGAAAAACAAAGACCAATCCCTTCCCTCCTCCCAAAAAACCCCAAACTTCCCATTGGAATTCTTCATCAGGTAAAATGTTCGTACTATGTACCTTCTTGCTGAAGAGGGCATTTGCTGTTTCTCCTATAGACTTAAAAGAAGCTCTGAGCCAATTCATAGAAGAAGAGTCCCTCAGTGACCAGGACAGAGAGGCTGAAGCATCCTTGGATGCTGTAAAATCAGGCGAAGTAGATCTGCATCAGCTGGCGAGTATGTGGGCCAAAGCTTATGCTGAGGTAAGACCATAGTCAGAGTGTGTTTCAAGGATAGTCCAGGCATTGTGAGGATTTTTTGATTGCTAAGGCAATACTAAACCTACAGTATCCATTTTTCCTTATATATCAGTTATATATAATTTGTTTTCTTGCTTCTGTGCACCCTTCCTCTGTCAGCATGCAGGCATAAGATGAAGTGTTTTGTTATATTTTTATATATTTCTTGTGTGTGTTGTGTGTGTGTTAATGCTCTCATGGCCCTTCCCCCCTCCAGCTCTTGTGGAGGTCACAGGACAATGTATAGGAGTCGGTTCTTTCCTTTACCATGTGGGTCCAGAGATCATACTCAGGATGTCAGGCTTGGTGGCAAGCATTTTTTTTTTACCCAGTGAGCCATCTCAGTGGCCCAAGACAAAGTATTTTTTATGGACTGCCTTTGAAATGGTACCTATGGACACAAGAAGCTATTTTTGTGTATCTTTCTAGCATGGAGCTCACCAGATTTAGTCATTTAAAATGCAGATACTCAGGACATTTAGAATTTCAAATAAATGAGTAATTTTTTAGTGTAAGTTTATCCCATATATTTCTTATAGCATATTTATACTAAATTATTTTTTCTTTATCTGAAGTTCCAGTTGAACTGCATGTCTTGGATAAGTTTATTTCACCATCCTAAACCAGCAGTAGATGTCCATTTTTGGCTTTGGTTTGCCTCTGTCTTTTCACTTTTCATTGTTTTATAGTATCACCTTTTGCTTTTCACATTATTTCCCTGTTTCATAAAGTCTAAGATGCCAAGTAAAAATTATTTATGAAGAAAGGCTGCCACTAATTAAGCTATGATAGCAAGCCAAGATGCCACTGAACATAGGATACCAGAAGACTCAGTGACAGCCATAAACTTGTCAGGGACTCTTGTCAATCATAACATTGTTTCAGTGGGTTGGTGGTAGCAAAAGCTAAACTGCAGTGACTTTAAGAATGTTGGGGTGTGGCGGGAGGAAGAGTGGCCACAGGGAACTCCAGAAAACTGACTACGTCGAGGAGCAGCAAAAGGCACTTGCCACATGGGAAGAGAGTCGGTGTCTTGTTGATTCTGTTGCTGAGATGGTAGGGTTGGAGCCTAGATGGGGTGGAGTTCAGAACCCAAGTGGACAATCACCCTGAACTGAAAAGAGAACTTCTTCACTGTAGTCAAGGGAGGACGAAGCTGAATATAGATTCCAGAAATGTTACTGACTTGGTGGCAGGGTGTTAAGGCTGTATCTTCTGATTCCTTCACACTTACCTGTCAGCTAGGCAAGCTAGGCCACTTGTTTTGCTAAGATAATAAGAGAGGTGACCAGGAAATGTGTGTTTTCAGTCATCATTGACTGATACATTCAGTTCACGGAGAGAAATTTCCCTGCTCAAGCTCTGTACAGCCTGACTGCAGGCATACAGAAAAAAGTAATATCAGAGATTTTGTTAGCTGGGTAAGAGAGGGTGTTAGTCAAAGTATTTGAGGACATTAACAAGATAGTGGTTGAGTGCTGGACATTGGAATGCGAGCTACATGGAAGGGGAATGGAAACGAGGAGGGTGCTGATGGCTAATGAAGCAGGCGGTTTACAAAGTGTAGGCCCTGATTACCTGGGTAACTGGGCATGATGCTTCATGCCTCTGAGCCCAGTACTAGTGAGGTTGAGACAGGACGATCTGGAGTTCAATGCCAGCCTGGACAATGTAGCAAGACTTTGTCTCAAAAGAAAAAAAAAGGCAAAAAAACAACAACAACAAAAAATGCAACTAATTGCTTGGGAATATTCTAGTGAGAAATTATATTTGGAGTTGGAGTTTATCATTAGAGACTAGAATGTTTGAATTTTAAAGTAAGGATACTGTGTTAGTCAGCTTTCCTCTACTATAACAGATCCCTGAGATAATCAAGTTATGAAGAGAAAAGGTTTATCTTGATCCATACTTTAAGAGATTGAAGTCCACACCTGGTTGGCCATATTGCTTTGAGCCTGTGGTAAGCAGCACTTTGTGGAGAGAGTGTACAGTGAAGTAAAACTGCTTACCTTGTGATCAGGAAATGAAAGAGAAGACGATGAGATGGAGGTTCCTTAACTCCAGGAGAATACACTCCTGGTAGCCTAACAACCTCTCATTGTACCCCACCTCTTAAAGGTTCCAGCACCTCCCAGTTATACAATCCTGGGGACCATGACTTTAACACAGGATCCAAATGATAACAGACACTAGAAGGGGGGCCAGGGTAGACTGGAGAACTCATGCAGATACAGAGTTCAGGAGGAATAAGACCGGGCACTGGAGGATTTCCACATGGGCATCCAAGCCACTCAGGTTAGTAAGATTTGAGGCAAAGAAGAAAACTGAGCTGTGAACTTGCTGAGATTGTAAGTCAATGAGGGTAGGGCTGGAGAGATGGCTCAGTAGTTAAGAGTACTAACTGCTCTTGCAGAGGACCTGGGTTCAGTTCCCAGCACCCACATGGTGGCTAAAAAGTGTTTGAAACTCCAGTTCCAGGGGCTCCGACATCCTCATCTGTCCTCCGTGGGCGCTGCACGACACAGGTACATTTACATACATGCAGGAATAACACTCGTACATATAAAATAAAAATAAATTTTTAAAAATGAATGCAGGTTAATAACAGGTGGGTTGTTAGATAACAATGATAAAGAAAGATAAGTGATGCCAAATGATCTGAACCTCAGAGAGGCCACCAGGCTTGATGACGGAGTGGAGGCAGAGAAATCACAGTTGGCAAGTTGAGACTTTTTCTCTCTGCAGGCCCTTTCTCACTGTCCATTCCTCCCAGGCAGCACAGCCCCCTTTCTGATATCTCTCTGGAGGGAATGGTACAAGTCAGATCAAAGGAAGACTGTTCAGTGCTCCTTGGGAAGGTGGCTTTCCTACTCACAGGCTTCTGTGAGGCTGTTTAAAGTTGACACTACACTTGTAGTTAGATATGCTGGTTAGTAGATAACCAAGTGCCCAGTTTTAGACTGGCCCATCACAGCCTAATGAGCTTGTGCTAGCCCCTTTCTGAATAGCTTTGGCCTGAGCCTGAAGCAGATTTTGAGCAGAAGTTGGGTTGTCCAGGATGGACATAATTCCTAGAGCAGCTCGGGAGCTGGAGAGCGGCTCTCAGATGACCTTGGAGGTTTAGAGGCCACCAGGAAATAAATCTAATCCAGCTGCGGCTAGTCCTCTGGTGCTCCTGCTGCCCACATGGCTCCTGCCTGAGGGATAAGTGGAGGAGAACAGGAGAAATGCCTGAGTTCAAGATACATGTTCATTTGTTTTGAAGTACATTGTTACTCTAAGTCACAGCTACAGCCCAATTTTTACATTGGTAAGGGAAGTGTTTAGGTACCATTGCCATGTATGTCTGCAAAGACCAATAATGGGAGAAATGTCAAAATCTTTTTTTTCCCCCTTGCCACCGAATTACCTGACCTTTGACAGGAGACTTCTGAACCCTGGATGTGCATGATGTGTGCAGGAGGCTGTCCTTGATGCTGAGGGCCTCAACTCCTGCTGTTCTTTTAGCAGTCTTTACTCAGTTCCTGTATCATTTTTGATAATATTTTCATATCTTAAAGGCATTCTTATATTTTAAAGAGAAACTATAATACTGTTTTTTAAAAAGAAAATAAATAGCCAGGCATTGGGCACACACTTTTCTTTTCTTTTTTTTCTTTTTTTTTTTTTTTTTTTCCCTGTAGCCCCAGCTGCTCTAGAACACACTTTGTAGACCAGACTGACTTCAGACTCACAGAGATCTGCCAGTCTCTGCCTCCCAAATGCTGGGTTTAGGTGCAGTGTAGTGCTGGGATTAAAGGCGTGCGCCACCACACCTGGCAGCACACACTTTGTAAGATGGAGGCCAGCCTGGTCTGCATAGTGAGTTCTAGGCCAGCAGGGGCTACAGGGAGACACTGTCTCAAGAAGATCAAATAAAAATAAATAAATAAATAAATAAATAAATAAATAAATAAATAAATAAATAAGTGAATGGATGGATGGATGAATGAATGAATGAGCAAGCTCATGTTGGTAGGGCTATACATGAACTGGGTTTTGACGGTGCCTCACAGTACACAGGTGACCAGATAGGCAACCTCCTTTTCTAAATATGTAACCTATAAACCTTTCTAGAGTGTATTTTTAATAATGAAAAGTTTTATGATTATAGATTACTACATGAAAGTTAATTTTATCATAGGATAGCATTCAGATATAGCTGAAGTCTTGACATAGACACCATTGGCTTTTGTTGCTCATCCCTTTGTGTGTACACGTGTGTGTTATGTATAGAAATGGGGTCATGGCATGCTGGCTTTTTTCACTGTTGTGGGCACTACAGTTCTTTACTTCACAGTAGTACCTCATCCCTTCCCCTCAGCTCTTCATAATAATAACTTAGTTTCTATCTTCCCATATTCTTCTTCATATTGTGATGGCCCTGCAATTAGCTACATGTGTGGAAATGCAGAGTCTCTCTGTCCTTGTCTGATGCAGAAGTAGTCATACTTTCTAGTAGTTTATTGAACACACGTGTTATGCAATGACTCGAGAATGTCTGCATCATCCCATAGACCACATTAGAGCACGCGAGACCTGAGGAGCCGAGCTGGGATGAAGACTTCGCAGACGTGTACCATGACCTCATCCACTCCCCGGCCTCTGAGACGCTCTTGAATCTGGAGCACAATTACTTCGTCAGCATCTCTGAACTAATTGGTGAACGAGATGTGGAACTGAAAAAGCTACGAGAGAGGTATGACTCATCCCTTGAGTTATTACAGTTAAATGTTGTGTTACTAACTCATGGCCTGCAGGACACTTGTTTGCAGGTTTATAAAATGAAAGGCTAATATGAAAACAAATTTCCTTAATGTTCAAAATTTCCTTATACATTTAAATATGTACTTCCAATTGGGAAAGTCCTCCCTGGTGGCCTTATGGATTTATTCCAGAAGAGGGCTAGATTACCTCCGCCCAGGGTTGACTTTGCTTCAGACACTGTGAAAAGTAATCTGAATGAGCTTTCTCCTTTGATCTTTACCACAGCCCTATGGTTAGCACCTCCATCTTGCAGGTGAGAAACCCTTGACTTAAATCCAGTGACTTATCCAAGGGCAAATGGAATTTTAACCAATAAATATGACTTCTAAACACTAGCCACTCCCCCTTGCTCTCTCCCGAGTCAGGACCTCCTCTGCATTACCGGTCCCTAAGGTCACGTGTCTTTCAGTTCATATTATGAGCTTCCCATGTTAGGAAGAAAATAACTCTAGGCTAGCATTGTTCTAAAAAATTTTAATCAGATTTGAAATCATTCTGTATAGTCCATGTAAAACAGTCTACGAATAGTGCTTTAATGGGTTTTTCAGGGGGAGGACAAATCTGCTAACACTCGTATTTTAAAACGTGACCTTTAAGACTGCTTCCTCATAGTTCTGTAAACTGTTGTGCCTAGATTGAACATGTGTTGTCTATTTAATCTTTTAGTTATTCCTAAACCTAAATAATATGGTATAACAATTATTTGCATTGCATTAGGTATTATAAGGAGTCTAGAGATACTTCAAAATATCCTGGAGGGTATGCATAGGTTATATACAGATACTATACCTAGAACCAATCTCCCATGTATCACATGGGTTAACTGTGTACTGCTAAATTCCCTTCTTCGTTCTCCGTGCTTCTTTTAATAATACTTTAAGTCAGCTAAGGAACTACCCTAAGCTCCTGCCTGCTTACCCGCCTGAGAACTCCGTCTGGCTGTCTACTTTTCTTTTTCTAAATCAAAAGAAGATTCTTAATCTGATCTGTTTTTTTATTTGCTGATTCTTTGAGAAGATTCCTATTCTACATGACTCTTTACTTTTAGAGAGGCTGAATTAACTAATTATTTACCCTTACTAATTACCTTACTGATGGACCCTATTACCCTTACTTTTTTCTATCATGGATTTTTTTTTAGTAGAAGAATGTTTTATTTTATTGTTTGACATGGTTTTGAGCCAAATATTTTTTTTCTTTTTGAAAAACATAATTTTTTTTCTATTTTTAACTTCCCAGACTGATTTTACTCTCTAGAAGTGAATTAGGTGCTTTACATTTTCTGTAGGGCACAGGTGAAGGCACACTGGGGCTGTAGGAGAGCAATAGAAAAATGATGGAAAACCTTTTGGTGCCTGGGAATAGGAGAGATTCAACGACAAGGCCTGGGTACCCAGGACCACGTGCAGAGTCAAGACCACAGCTGGCCATCAAGGGAGGTGGGAAGTCCAGTCTAGAGAATCAGCCCTCCCAAGACCAGAATCTGCAAATGACAGAGACCTCCCCAGTCTTCAGCATAAGCCCAACACAGAGGCAAAGCCACTACCATGCATAACCTGGGACCTCAAGGGAGGGGGCTGTGGGGAATGCAGCCACTCAGAGAAGGATGAAACTGCTGCCTAAGATCAGGAAGTCCTCCATCCTCCACTCTGCTCCATCATCAGCCCACCACCAGAGGAATGGTAGCTCATGGTTAGGGATCAGAGCTCCGGGTTCATAGGAGGAGGCCACAACTCCAGGCTCATGGGAGTGGACCCCAGTTCCAGGTTCGTAGGAGGGACCACAGCTTCAGCTCACAGGAGGAGACCACATCTCCAACTCTCCGGAGAGACCACAGCTCCAGGTTCATAGTCAGGGAAAACAAGTGATGAGATATCTTACTGTAGCCCCTCTGTAAGTCTGATTGAAACATGAAGGTCATTTTCCCTTTAAAATGTCCCCAACTTCACTGCACCCCCATCTGGGCCCTTGGGGAGCACACAGCTGGGTCTGAGGGGCACAAAACATTCCTCACAAGCCTAGTCGTCCTCCTGCTGTCAACCACCTCGGGCCATTTACCCCATAGCCACTGAGCCACACTGAGAGCTGCCACCAGCACTGTTGCTCTGGCCCCTGTGCCGCTGTCTTCCTGCACCAGTTATTTTCTTTCCTACTTGCCAAGTCCTGAGTTCAGAATTTTGAGATGTGTATAAAAGCACCTATGGTCAGGAAAATTTCCATCCTGTGTGATAAGCTTCCTCCCATGGTCCAGGACACACACTAGCCTCTTGGTCTTTTTGAGACAGGGTCTCCCTGTAACCCCAGCTGCCCTGGAACTCACTATGTAGACCAGGCTGGCCTTGAACTCACAGAGATCCATCCGCCTGCCTCTGCCTCCTGAGTGCTGGGATTAAAGGCGTATGCCACCATGCCTGACATTCATTTTACTTTCTAAACATGAAAATAATATTTGAATGTTTCTGTTTTAAATTTGGGTTTGTAGATTACATATGTCCAAACTATTAAGTTTAAAAAGAAAAATAAGCTGTTTTCCTCCAGGAAGGTAATTGTTATTGCAAAGGGGAACAGTGTAGCTTAGTTGAAACTCACTTGTGTCTTTGTAGACTTATCCACAGTCTTGGCGCTTAAGTCATTTATCCGGTCCATGAGAAGTAGCACTTTTTATTTCTCTTTTCATTTTAATGCCATTTTACTCCTTTAAAAAACATTTTCTCAGAATATTCTTAATGCAGTTATAGTAATCTTTTCCATTTAAGAAAACATTCAGGTTGCAAATTTGTCATTCCTGATATACTGAACATCTCTACAGTCAGTAGTTTATCTGACAGATAATAAAATTTCCTTTGAATGTGTCATGGAAGTATCTTGTATAATCAACTGTATGATTAACTGCTTTGCATACATTTGGGGTACCGTAAATGATCCTGAAATTTAATTTGTTCCCTTCTTTTTTTCTTGTTTTCTTAGAAGAAAAATTTCTTAGAAGAAAATGACAATAATATTTTTTATCCACTATGGGAACACTTGTAAAATTATTAATATAGGGGCTAGAGAGATGGTTCAGTGAAGAGTGCTTGCTGCTGTTTCAGAGGACTGGAGTTTGGTTCCCAGCATGTTAGATGACTCACATCTGCATGGAACTCCAGCTCCAGGGGATCCAGTGCCCTCTTCTGGCTTCTGAGGGCACATGTTCTCACAGACACATGTAAATTAACTTCCTCTTTAATTGTTAATATAATTTTATACCTAAGTTTATATTTGAAAGTTTTTAGCAGACATTTTTTTTGTTTCTAAATGAAAATCTCACTTACATGCATAATCTTCTCCTGACCTGTGATAGTGACTGAAAAGCTAATGTCCTGGAGTAGTGGTGCACTCCTGGAATCCCAGTACTCAGGAGGCAGAGCTGGAGGATCGCTGCAAATTCAAAGCCAGCCAGGGATGTATAGTGAATCTCTATCTCAGAAAACCAAAACCAAGCAAAGTTCATGGGATCATCTGCATTGTATATAACTAAGTAGGAGCTAAATGGTATTGAATATTTAATTCTAGAAGCTATTGGAATGTTTGTATGTAAAACTTTACGTGCTGAGTGTAAAGTCACTTTAAGGAGCAATTTACTTAACTAGAATGATAATAAAACTTAGTTTGTATCTGTTTTGTTCTTTTCTATTCAACATACAGTTTTAAATTTTATGTATTTGTGTGTGTGCTTGTATATATGTGTGAAGTATGTACATGTTCGTGTGTGTGTGACAATATCTAGTGTCTTCTTCAGTTACTGTCCACCTTATTTTTTGAGGCGGGGTCTCTCACTGAACCTGGAACCCATCTATTTGGCCAGGCTCGCTGGGTAGCGAGCCCCAAGCATCTGCCTATCTTCACCTCCTCAGCTCTAGGTTACAGATGTGCATCCCCATGCCTAACTTTTATGTAAGATGGTGGGGCTCCAAACTTACGTCCTCATGCTCACATGGCAAACACTTTACCAACTGAGCCCTTTCCCCAGCCCTTCAGAATATGTTTTAGAACAAACTTTTTGTGTGTCCTTGTATTAGAAGATGATTTTTAATTTGAAATTTTAATGAACACCTTTATTAATACAGTCAGGAAAGGCAATAAGTTATAGAAGTATAGCTCAGTAAATTTTCACAGAGCAAGTGCACCCTTGTCACCACCACCCAGTTAGGAAACAGGATGTTTCCAGCGTGCAGACGCCTCTCTGTCACCCTTTTGGTCCCTGCCTGTTTTCACCATAATTAACTGTGGTCTGTGTTTCTAACACTGTTGATCAGCTGTAGGGAAGCCATTCTTAACTTCTGTATACTCTTTCTTTGGACCAACTGAAGAAGGTAATACTGTATCTTCAGGTTGTGTTTGATAGTCCTCCTTAAAGATAATTTTATGACTTAACAGTTTGTCTCTTCCAACCTCTTTGGCAGCATTTGGATATAGTGTAGACTAGCTTTCAGGGTGATCCCTGTTCAGTTCATATACAAATACATAGAAAATCTACTTACACTGGGATTGTAGAGTATTCTCTGGGGACCTCTGCAGATGGGATGGGATGCGATGGGGGCTGTTGAACATTGACTCAGTTATTGAATGACCACATGGATTTTGACTGCTTTCGTTTGTGCGTTAGGCTCAGATCACATTCTGGCTGCATAAGTGACACCGTTGATTCTGTATGACATGATCACTGCTGTTTACATCCCCATTTCCAAGGATTCAGAGTGTTTTCCAGACATCGGAGTTTTCATTTTTGGACATATTATAAAATAAATTTATTTTCATTCTGTTCAATGACCTTGAAGTGGTCATATCCCTCTAAAAGTCTGATGGATATATCTGATTTGTCAACTTATGTTTTAGACAGGGAATTGAAATGGAAAAAGTGATGCAGGAATTGGGAAAATCACTCACAGATCAGGATGTAAATTCACTGGCTGCTCAGCATTTTGAATCCCAGCAAGTGAGTGAAATATAATGACTTTAGGCCCATAATTGCATTTTCTTTTACTTGTTTATTTTTGTAAAAACTAGCCATTTGACACATTGTCTCTTTTAGGACTTGGAGAATAAATGGTCAAATGAATTGAAACAGTCAACAGCCATCCAAAAACAGGAGTATCAGGAATGGGTGATAAAACTTCATCAAGACCTGAAAAACCCCAACAATAGCTCCCTCAGGTACTGATCTTCTGCGGCTCTTCCTCATACCCACGGCCAGGGTCGTTAGTGAAAATCCAAGCTTTTACACCGTATTCTTTTCCTCCCTCTCTTCTTTCCTTCCTTCCGTTTTTTTCTGAGGAAAAGTGTCACTTTGTAGCCCTGGCTGTCTTCAAACTTGGTATATAGCCCAGGCTGACCTTGAACTCAGGGAAATCGTCCTGCTTCAATTGCAGGCATTTTGTCTCATTTCTTTGAAGTATTTTCTGCTTAGCATGACTGGAAGAATGACAGACACTCATTAAAGAAAACGAGAACAGATCTCTGAGGACAGCTCAATAAAACTAGTTCCAGAATGTGTTGGAGCATGCTGTAAACATTTGAAAATATTGTTTATTCATATAATGTTGGTCTTCTTCTAGTCTTGCCTCAAGGGTAAGAAATATGTCTGTTTTTTTATTCTTTTCTTGCTATTTTGTTCTGTGCAGCCAGCCAGCTCCCTGCCAAGAGCTCTTGACATGGGCACACGTGACTTGTTCAGTAAATACTGGGGTGAGGGAAGCTCAGATAGATAATTTAAATTAAGACCAGGCTGGGGAGATAGCACAGTTAGTAAAGTACTTGCTGTGAAAGTGTCAAGATCTGAGCTTGATCCCAGCACCCACATTGTCCTCTGGTATCCACACATGTGCACACCTGTGCATGCACACACCTCCACATACATACAAGAAAACAGTTCTTAAAACCTTTTCATGATCATTTTATTACCCCTTATCCACATGTTCTAATCCTTCATTTAATGTTTTCCCAAACTGTTCTGGTCTTCTGTGTACAACTCTAGATGGTTTACTTTCTAACCAATGCTTTTAAGGTAACAACAAAGCAGAATCCAGCAGAGTAGACTAGGGAAAAGCATAGGCGTATGTCCTGTGTGAAGCTTTGTATACATGGATGTTCATATTGATGCCACATATAAAATATATGCTATATAGATCACAGACAAAGTTGAAAGTTGCAGATTTAAGGAAGCGGAAAGAGAATCTTGCTACAGAAATTGCCATTGTTTGCTGCTGTGGTTTCGGAAATTGAGTGTGTAATTGAGTGTATAATGGATTCCATTAGGTAAGCCCCGGTCTCAACTACTGCTGCCTTTTCAGATGGAACTGCCTGAGGAAATCTGGTTTTGCTGTTGCTTCTTCTGCTAGGTGTTTCCATGAGCAGCAGAAACCCTGTTTTCAACTCCTGGAAACAAGGTTTATTGAGTGATGGATTACATGAAGTGAGTCTACCTGACTTAATGGCATACAATTGGTGGATTTTGGCAGTCATGACCACATCACACAGTGGAGAGACGGCATTTCCTCCTTTCCCTTTGTACTCAGAGTCCATTCCTCTTACACCCCACTGTCCACCTGTCTGGTTTCTATCCTTGTATCTTGATTTTTCCCAGCAAGTCATGTAAATGGAATCAAACCATGTGCAGTTTGCTAGAGTGCTTGGGGACTCGGTCCTGTTGCTCTCCAGACGTTTCAGGCTCTGTTTTTCGCGTTGCTCAGTGTGGTGTTTCTCTTTATGTACCCTCTACTAGGTGAGGATATTACAGCTTTTCTAGATTTGGGCAACGATAATTACTTTTCATACAGAGATTTTGTCTAAATTTTGTTTTTATTTCTTTTGCATAAATGTTTAATAGTGAGATTGCTGCTCGTAGATTAAAATAATGTGCATTTAGCTTCTTAAGAAACTACCAGGAAGAGCATCCCCACTTCTTTGCTGCTCAGCCATTCTAATGGACATCACAGCGGCTCTTCATTCTAAGCACGCCTTGCATTTCCCTGATGGCTGATATGTTGAACGTTTTGTTGTATGCTAATTTCCTATCTGTGTATCTCTTTTATGTTTGCTTATAATTGAGCTATGAAAGTTATTTATGTATTCTGGATGCAAGTCTACCATCAATTATATGTTTTATAAATATTTTCTCCTATGGCTGATCTTTTCATTTTCTTAAATTTTTTTTGATTTACTTATTTTATGTGTATGAATGTTTTACCTGCATGTATGTAAGTGCATCACATTCATACAGTGCCTGTGGAGATCAGAAGAGGGTGTCAGATCCCCTGGAACTGGAATTAAAGATGGTTGTTAGCTGCCGTGTGGGTGCTAGGAACTGAACCCCTGTCCTCTGCAAGAGCAGCCAGTACTCTAACTGCTGAGCCACCTCTCCAGCCCCTCTTTTCATTCTCTTAATAGTATCTTAAAAAGCAATTTTTTATTTTAATTAGTTGCAATTATCATTTTTTTTTAGATTTAATAAATGTTTATAGCATATTTCATCCAACAGCTGTGGAATATACATTCTTTTCAGCAGTCCAGGTAACTTTTTCTAAAATAAATCACATTTTTTTTATTCTTATTCTTTTATGAAGTTAGTTAAAAATTAATGAACAAGAAATTAAAGAGACTGCACTGCAATTAAGTTAGAATATTCTAACTGGAAAACAATTACTGTGAAACTATTTACATTCTCATAGAATTATAAACATTTCTCAAGGAATACTTTACAGCACAACTTTTTTTTTT